TGTCACTAGGAGACAACCCAAGTGTAGCTATCTTAGCCAAGGTCTCCGAGCGCAAGGTGCGAGCCAAGCCGACTGTCATTTGAGCATCGGGAGAATCAGTCCGATAGACCCAGAGGACAGTTTGAGCATTCAGCAGCGTGTTCTTGAGCTCCTCAAACATATTCTCGGTGAGGTATCGTAGAGAGCTAGCTCCAGTCTGAAGTATAACAATATGCTTTTGAGAGAAGTCCATTTCACCAAATGTTCGGATAGAGATCTGCCACCTGGATCCATCGGACAGTGCAATGCTCAATTTATCAGCAATTCCATCGGCTTCGCCAAAGTGGGCGATGAAGAGATTTTGCTTGAGTTTGATAGAATTCCCATTTGCGTGGGTGTTGCCTTGCTGCTCTGTATTTCCATTCGTATTCGCACCCCTGGGGGTGTAAGTAGGGCCATGCGATTCCACAGGGCCATTGTGATCTTGAATGTCTCCTTCAACTGCGGTCCCAACCTCAGTGAAGGGATGCCAATCAACCTTATAGCACAGTTTGCGAGTATCTTCAAGGTGAGTGTCTGGATTTCTGAGAGGAGTCATTACCAGACCATCTATTGTAATTACGGGCTCTACGGAGCCCTCCCGGGTGGCAAAAAGGTCAAATTTGGTCGGCTCGGGAGAAGGTAAGCTGGGACTGCCACTGCAGTAGCCCTTGAGATATTCACCAGCAATGTCTGGGACGTTGAGACCGACTGTAAAACGCTTGATAATTGTCGGCATATAAAGTGTGTCTAGGTCCATTCGGCCCAATCCCTGGCCAAGGATGGGCCAAGCAAAATGTAGAAGTCCGTCCAGGAGTAATGGATGGATAGTCAAGGGAGGTTCGAATCCCTTCGGCATGACACTGCGGGTATCCCTAACGTGCAGATTTCCAAACGAGTGGTGGGGACAGGAGTAGCAGTTGTCAATATCCTGGAAGATAGGACCATATCCGGCCCCTAGATCACTAAGAACCTCGTACATATGGGACGTATCGAGGTAATTAGTAGCTGATTCCTGAACTCGCGCAATCTGGGCTTTCGTGTAGGCGGTTTGTGCCTCGGATGGGCTCGAGATCACAGCCGCCTGCTGTTTCGGACCGGATCGAACCCGCACCTGGCCAGTACAGTGCTCCATCCATCCTCGTTTTGAGGTCCATGAGCAGACACGGAACTCATCCCATATATCAGATGATCCACGGGTGCCTTCAGCGTAGGGGCGGAGAGTAATGGTGGTCTCTGCATCTGTGTCATCACTGAGCACAAGCGCTGAACCCACAATAACCTCCCTCAGTTCAAATTGGGAGATTTGAATATCAGCTTGCTCCGCGCGTCGTCGAGCGGCCTCAATGGCCATCACCAACTATTGGACCGTCAGTAAGCATGATTTAAATAAGTCATCATTCGTTGAATGTACATAGCCGGCCATGGGGTAAACGACCACCCCCTGCATCTTGTGGTCCCGGAGATAGGGAACTTCATCTAAGCGGATGATATTCCGCCACGTTGGCTCCAGATCATTTGAGTAATTTGCCAGTACTCCCAAAACATCGTTCCTGGCACGATCTCTGCCCGTATGCTTCTGCGAAATACGGGAAACATGCCAGTACCGAGTGCCATGTTGCCAAGGGTAACGAGGCAAGTTACTCAAAAACAAACGGTTTGCCGCCTTTGTCTTGGGGAAGTTTACTCCTATCATATCGAGTGTAGCGCCTCGCACATAGGCCGAAGCAGCGGTATCCAAGACCGACGCAGCTTCATCCACTTGACGAAGAATGGTTGGTGTATATGCAATCTTGGAGACGGCAGGACCCAAGCTCTTTAGAGTATCCATGATGGGGCCCTTCAATGTAGAGTGTGGACCAATTTCCACAAGAAGGTTGGGGCGTGTTTCATCATCCGACACAATCTTGCTAAGTGCATCAGAGAACAACACCGGTGATGTCAGGTTCGCAATCCAGTATTCTGGACCAAGCTCAGAAGGTTCTGCGGAACGTCCAAAGACAGAAGAAAAGAACGAGGTTTTTGCCGATGGGAAGCGCTGGATATTCTGAATCGCAGTCAGGTAAGCTTCGGCAACCTTCTTCATGTGGTTCGAGTGGTAGGCAACGTCAATCCTCAATTTTCGGTTAAAAATCTTCTTATCATCAAGAATCCTTTCGAGTTCATCAATTGCGGACACGTCTCCCGATACGGTCACACTGGAAGGACTGTTCACGCAAGCGACTGTGGCATAACCAGATAAGGCCTTCAACATAGGCTGAATAACCTCACGACTAGTGCCAACGGCAATCATGGTGCCCTTGAGGGATGGGAACGAGGATTTGAGCAAGGAGATCATTTGACCACGCCAGTAAGCCAGAGCCATGGCTCCCTCCAAGTCATAAATCCCCGCAGCGTAGGCTGTGCTGATTTCTCCAGAACTGTGGCCAATGACTGAAGCAGGACGGATCCCCCAAGATTCCAGAAGATCGACTAGTGCAATCTGAAGCGCTGTGCAAGCCGGTTGACTCAGATAAGGGGAGTCAATTTCAGAGGTTCTGGCATCCTTTTCCAACTCCTCGATAAGCGAGAACTCAGCGCCGAGATCCCGTAGGCATTGATCGGCTCGTTTGATGGCCAACTTGTAGACAGGATACTCATTCATAAGAGGAACACCCATCTGTGCCCACTGGGCCCCTTGACCAGTGAAGACAAACGAGACTATCGGGGTACCCAGAACCCTGGATGGGTTGATCTTTAGTTGAGCAAGACGGATTCCAAGCTCATCTAGGGAGGTAGCTGACACGCCAACACGGTATGAGAGTTGGGACATCTTGTTGCCTAGAGTATAAGCAAAGTTGCCGAATAGAGTCTTTTCGAAAACCTCGGGATGTTGTTCGAAGTAGATACCGAAGTCTTTAATCCTAGTGCGTAGGGACTCCTTGTCGTTGGCAGAGATCAAGAACAGCTTGCGTTTGGGGTCCACCTCAAAATCCTCAACGGCTTCATCTGGGGCTTTGGACGATAGTGGTGCCTTTTCAAGAACGGCATGTGCGTTGGTTCCTCCAAATCCGTAATTAGATACGCTAAGATATTTTTTTGCGAGAAGGCCAGGGCCGCGTTGTCGTTAAAACTTTCATATTCCACTCGCTCATAGGAATACTAGGATTCGCTTTCTTGAACTCAGCGTTCGGAAGCATCAACTCTCTGTCAAGCATCATGGCTGCTTTAATGATAGCAATTATGCCACTGGCGCCCTCCAAGTGCCCAATGTTGGATTTGACCGATCCGATGTAAAGCGGGTTCCTCGGGGTGCGATTCCTTCCAAGTGCCGCATGGACAGCTGTAGCTTCGATGGGATCGCCGGCCTTTGTTCCTGTTCCATGCATTTCTACAAACCCGCATTCATCTGGGTTGAGCTTGGCCTCCTCGTAGACCCGCCGAATTAGGTCTTCCTGGGCCTGGCCATTTGGCTGCGTAATCCCCTGTGTTCGCCCATCTTGACTGACTCCTGAATGTACAATAACAGCTCGGATGGGATCTTTATCACGCAATGTAGCGTCGAGGGGTTTCAGAATTACAACACCAGAGCCCTCGCCTCGCGCGAAACCGGATGTGGCTCTCTCGTCGAAGGAGAAGGTTTTACCCTCATCATTAAACAACCTATACAATTCCATATAGTCAGATGTTATGGTTCGGAGCTTGGCTTGGGGAACACAAAAGTACTCACTGGGACATGGACATGGAAATCCAAATATCTGGTAAAAGGCTAAGGTGACAACCAGCAACGAGGGCTTCCTTACACTCCCCGCTCCGCAAGCTCTGTACTGCATAGTGAAGTGCAACCAGTGAAGAAGAACAAGCTGTGTCCACTGTGATACTGGGCCCCCGTAGATCGAAAAAGTATGAGATACGGTTGGATTGCAGTGAGGCCGCACAGCCAGTGGCTTGGTGCATGGGGATAGTCTCAATATCGCGGATATTATTGAGCTCATAATCAGAGAAATTACCACCGGCAAAAACGCCCACGTTCCGGCGGGCAAGATTCTCTTTGGGAATGCCAGCACTCTCCAACGCTTCATATGTGCATTCCAGCAGCAAGCGTTGTTGGGGGTCCATGGACGTAGCTTCTTGAACGGTGAGGTTGAAGAACGGAGCGTCAAAGCGTGCAATGTCCTCGTCGAGGAAGTAGCCTCCCTTCGGGTTGAAGGAACCAACCTTGGACGGGTTAGGGTGGTGAAATGCTTCGACGGAGAAGCGGTCTTTGGGAATGGGTGACCACCCACTTCGGGCTCGGGTGCATAGTTCCCACAGATCACTGGGGGATGCAACTTGCCCCGGCAGCCGGCAAGCATACCCGATGATGGCGATAGGTTGGGGTGTGCCCTGATCGCCATGAGGAGCACCCTCAGAACCAGCACCGTTCATGTTTGTCATGGTGAAAAGTGCAGAAGGTGCAATTTTAACGCGATTCTAAAGGATTTCTTGGGGTCACATAGGCGACATCGGGAAAATCTGGGAAATGAGCTGCCTAGGTGGACTATGATGAATTATATAGCGTTCCAAATACCCCACCCCAGCACTCCTGCTACGGGTGGTTTTGGGGGTGCACAGCTTGATGAAGCTGTCTCTACTCTGGACCGTTAATGCTCTGCTAGCATTGGGTGATCGGTGGTTATTCCCGAATTTGTGACTGGTGACTTTGACTGAAATGTTGTAACGTCCCACATTATTCGATAGAACAGTTGTTTGTGGGAAGTCGATTCTCGGCGGAAATCCTGGGCTTCTGTTTCATGTGCTTTACACGACTTGTACAGCCCGAGCGGTTAATTTACCTATTTCCTACTACACATGTATGTACTTGTAGTATATCTTCAATGTTAGTTTATATATTTGTTAGTTTATATATTTGCTCGTTGCCTCCACCCACCCTCTTCTTTTCTCGTGTATACAGGATCATCAGATTATATATCCCCACATAGATTGTTAAAGGTTGGCACAAGATGAGGTTCTTATGTCTTCATGGTGCCATTGGCAACACCGACGTAGGTTATGGGGGACATTATTATGAACATCAATGCTAACCTCTCTCACGCAGAATATCAATATCCAGTTTGGTAATTATCATTTGAATTTGAGGATTGAAAATGAGGAATCACTGATAATATTGCAGATCCCCTAGTGAAGCAGATGGCCATGGACGGGTTCGCTTCGTTCCACTATATCAACGGTCCTGTTCCTGTATCTCCACCGGCAGGTACGATCGTCTCGAGCTCAAACATTGATAAAAGCCAACAACATGATTTCCCTAGGGTTCACGGAATATTTCGGTATTGGGCCGCATTACAGGTGGTTCGAGGATGGAGGAGTAGCAGAGGAGTCGATGATATCTCGTGTTCGAAAATCTCCCCATGGCTCCTGCCCTGAGGATATGGTGAGAGCGTTGGGCAAAGACTGGGACGGGCACTGGAACAACCACCATCAAGTCATGGAATACCTATATGATACGCTGGAGAAGAACCCCGATATCGAAGGCATCGTCGGATATAGTGAGGGTGCTACGATAGCTGCGAGTCTAATACTGGATGAGGATAGAAAGGCTCAGGAGACTGGCCGTCCTCGTCAAATCAAATGCGCGGTTTTCTTCACCGGTTGGCCTCCTCTCTCCCCCGAGGAGGACGTGGTCCTAGCAGATGAGAGCGATTATACTCTGGACATTCCAACGCTTCATGTGGTTGGTGCAGACGGTAATTTTAGTTATATATTACCCCCTTTCGAACAATATACTTACTATTTGTTCTGGGCACAGACCCCTACCGATACGGTGCGCTAGCGTTGTTCAACATTTGTGACCCTGATACTGCAGCAATGTTCGACACTGGACGGGGCCACACTATTCCTCGGTCCGGCCCGGTCATCACGGAGTTGGTGAATGCCGTGCGAGACTTAATCGATAGAGCGTATCAAGTGTAGTCGAGGCGGTGGTTCATGGGAAGTACAAAGTCCTTCTGTGCGCGGTGTGACAGCAAAAGGCCCGTTGAGAAATGAAAACTCAGGCCTGAGGTGTTCCAGATTCTCAAAAGCCATATTGTGCAAGATATTTAGATTTTAAACCTTGGTATACACAGTTATTCATCCAAATATTATCTAACGTTGCCTCTTGCCCTCCTAGTGGAGTGAAGCCCAACCCGGGTATAGCCAAATTGGGATAGTGTGCTACCCACCAGCAGTTATTATAGCTTTTCCGAGCGATAACATTCCCTCCAAAAACAGCTAGAATTACAATTGGAAACTTGACTACTGCTATTTCACTCTCCCAAGGCACTGGTATGGTATGGTACCTCGGGTGTCCTACCACTCTAACCCGAATATGTACGAGGAAAGGCCAAGATGAAGGCCCTTCATATTATCATCTAGAATTAGAATTCAAGAATAGCGAGTGCTAATCAGATATTAACACCGCACCAGTCCATGGCCTGGCCAGCCCCTTCATTCGTGGGCTCGGGGGGTAATAGCGCAACGGTCAACGAAGTCGGGGATTTTCTCTTCGACGCCGAACTTATGAGGAGGAAACAACAGGCGAACAGGCTCAAAGTATGGCGTTATTTCTTGGACAAATCAACAGTAGCCCTTGGGTCTCGAGTGTGGCTTCATATCCTACAAAATGTACGACGTGGTCGTGAAGATCGTTTGGGCACTGTTAGCTGTCCCTTTGATGTTGACCTAGACCTATGCGCAGCCTGTGTCGGAGGATGAATGCGCGACGGGTGTTCATGCCATTATCGCCAGGAGGTAAGGCGGAGGCGATGACTTGAATGTGATGAGCACTCTTTCAGACATGGTCCTGAAGCAGATCCCCGGCTCGACGACCCTCGGCTTACCCTACGATCACCAAAACGTCTTAACTGACTATGCCAAACTGCACGCTGTTCACAACGGTGCTGTTCTAATGCAGTTTTCTTTTTGGAACTAGGTGGACAGTGCATTTTGCTCTGAGGCATAGTACGACCTAAAATCAACCCCCTCTGCGATGTACCTAGGGTAGCAATAGCAAATAGTCTCGAATTTAAGTGTCGGATTGTTCTATGCAAAAGCTATGTACTACGTAAACGGCGGACCTGTGAATTACTACATCGGTACAAAGACTTATAGTCCCCTTTATTGGCTATCCGCAGGAAGTAGACATTCCATGGTTGTTCCAAAAAGGGTTAGCGGTAATTTATGCGTTACAGTGATGTCTTGCCCAGGTGGTGAGTTCTGTTGGTCAGCAATTCACTGATGCTGTCCTTCTCAATCTCTCACCTTGTTGACGTCCCCCATCCTTCCAGTCTTCCTTTGCAATGGAAAATATTGATTCTCCACTTCGAAACGCTCGACTTTGTCCGGTAAGATAGAGTTATTGGCCTAGGATAAAGAGCTGCACTCATATAGTAACAGACACTCAAACTAGGCGACCAGGCCATCACTGTGACGGACGTCAAGCGGCTGGATCAGAATCGATCAGTTTACCGACTGGAAATTGAACCAGTCAACAGCCTTCCATCAACTGTTATTATTAAACAACAAAAAGAAGGATGGTCTGACGAGTTCGAGAATGAAGAAGCTTCTTATATGAGGTTAAAAGACCTTCAAGGGGACAAGATTCCTCAATTTTTCGGCCAGGGTTATTTCGATGGCATCCGGGCGCTGGTATTCTCGGAGGTTATCGGCACCACTCTGCTCGATCTTGCTCGTAGTAAGAAGCCTGTCGACGAGAAAAAGATGAAGGATAAACTCACAGCGGTGTTCCAATCTTTATCCGCCCGCGGAGCTATATATTGGGATCAAAAGCTGGATAATTTCATGTATTGCGACAATGGAGTACCTGACGCAAGTAAAGTGACGGTTGTCGATTTTGAGCAAGTCGAGTTTCCTACTTCATTTCCCCCTGGAAACTAGGCGTGAACAATGAGGGCGCGCGAGCTTTGATGGATGACTTCAGAGACACTCGGGACCGAGATCATGAAACCTCGCCTATTAGGCCTTGGGAACATGAACCCGACAGTTGCGATGAAGAGAACCCCCCCGAGGACAATTGATTCGAATGTGATTACGCCGTTAATGGATTCGGGGAGCGTCGAGGCCTTGCGTTATATCGCGGCTTGAGCGAATAAGAGGAAAGATGTGGTTACAGGTAGCTTAGATCAGACTTCACTGATGGATGCAAAACTATTGGCAACTGATAAACGAAGTCCAAAAATAACTACCATAAAGATCAAAACATCGCTGCAATCGCATATGCTCTCGCTAAGGCGGACGCTAGTTAAATGAGCTATAGATACTTGGAGTTAGCTGCGGAATCAAATAAGAAGTTTTCGAAGGAGTTTGGCAGAGAGAGGCCTATCGATAGAATGTAGTATATTTAGTAGTATACCTGGGAAAAGCCCTAACTATGGATGATCTCTTTCTTCAAGGCTGTCGAGCGGTTGGGCTTTTAATGCAGTAATTTCGGTTAGTATACGATAGTTCACTGTTCCTAAAGCTTCATAGTTGGATCAACGGTTTCGTATGACTCATACAAGATAGCTCTATTTACCGGGATCCATCTTCATGGGAAGCAAGCCGAGGCCGGGTGTGTGGTATAGGACGGAGGGGGTGTCCCTATACCAATTCCCTATGATTTTCGGACCCTACTTTGCAACCCAACAAACAGATCATGATGCCTAGTCTTAAAATATTGACCTCGGTGTCCATTTAGCCAGGACTTCCCTATAAAAGGAGTTGTTCTAGTAAGGCGATATGTATATGTATGACCGGTGGAAGACACGGTAGTCAAACTTGGAATCTTAATATAGATTTCGTAGCATTTTTATTGGCCATGGATATAAAGCAGCTATAAATCATACCTAATATCACTCGCCACTGAAGGTGAAGCCGAAGGCGTACACACAAAAGTTGTATACAACCGCATCGAGGTATACAGATCAGCAGCTAATCCCGTTTCGGCGATCTCTCCTTTTTCTTTTTTTTTCCCTCTTCAACAACCACAAGCCTCTCTCTTTCTCTATGTTCTCTCTAGCCCGTCAATTCCCCGGAGTCCGCTCCAAACCTCAGCTTCTTACCAGTCAGAAATTCACCCCATTGACCCAGGTACCCCACCGCCTGTCCTCGAATTCGCCGAGATCTTCGCCGCCACGCGCACCCTCCGCCCCTCAATCCAGCCGCTCCAATTTCCCAATCATCCCAATCATCCTCATAACCGCCATTAGTTCCGGTGCCTACGTCTATCTTGTCAAGTCCCGCACCGGCATCAACACACGTCAAAACTAGCTTGAAGTAAGCCCGGCCTAGCCCGTACAAAAAGAAATAACATACCATAACCCCCAAACTAACTTCCGTTTCAAGACAAGTGCTGCCCCTCCACACACCGACACCACCCCCCACAAACAATCCTAAACCCCCTTTAACCTCACCTCACCTCACCTCCCTCAACCTCCCAACCACAAACACAACCACAACAACAAACCACCCACAATGTCCACCGCCCGCTTCTCCACAACCGACGTAACCGTCGTCTTCTTCCTGGGCGGCCCAGGCAGCGGAAAGGGCACCCAATCCTCGAACCTAGTCAAAGACTACGGCTTCGTTCATCTTTCCGCAGGCGACCTCCTACGCGCCGAACAAGTCCGCTCAGGCAGCCAGTACGGCGATCTGATCCGCGAATACATCCGCGAAGGCAAGATCGTGCCTATGGAAGTGACAGTTGCATTGCTGTCGAATGCCATGGCTGATTCACTAGCGACGTCGCCACCTCCCGCTGGTACCAAGGCCCGGTTCTTGATTGATGGGTTCCCGCGCAAGCTTGACCAGGCTGTTTTCTTCGAGGAGACGGTTTGTCCCTCTGAGCTTGTGTTGTTCCTTGATTGTCCTGAGGATGTTATGGAGGCTAGATTGTTGAAGCGTGGGGAGACTAGTGGTCGTGATGATGATAATGCGGCTTCTATTCGCAAGCGCTTCCATACTTTTGTTGAGACTTCTATGCCTGTTGTTGATGATTTCAAGAAGAAGGATAAGGTCGTTTGGGTCAAGGCTGATAGCTCGGTTGAGCAGGTCTATGGGGAGATTAAGGCCGGCATTGAGGCTCGTGGTTTGGAGGCTCGTTAAGAAGTGGTCTTGTGTTTGTACCGATGTAAATAGAGTTGGGGTCAATTTAGGGGGTGAGAAGTGTGTGATTTCTTTGTTCAACTGGGAAATAGACCTCGGGAGTATAGAGGAATTTTAAGCAATTTTAAACTTGAACTTCTTGTTTAGATGGATGCTTGGCCCTCACGAAACCAATGAAGTTGTTAACTACAATATAAACCAAGACCAGTCTAAAGAAATATAATATTCTTTAAGCTGGAGTAAAAAAAATTGAACAAAAGAAAAGTTATCCCTCCGGAAAACATAAACAAGACTAAGATTGACATGACATGACTCGTGCGGTCCCAAATATCCAACGGGGGCAGTAAAAATCCAACCCTACATTTGGCCAGGGAAAAAAGAAATGCATGAGGAAAAGGCAGCGAGATTTCCCCTCTATTAACTGAAAGATTTTTGTGTTCTGTGAGCTTTTCCATTCATAAAAAAAAAGGACACATCTATTCGGCAGTAGCCTCGACCTCACGCGCCTGGGGCTGCGCGGGTTGAATGCGTCGGCGGTCACCGTTACCGTTGCGGTTGGCGTTAGCTTCTTGGTCAGCCGCGGCCTGGAGACCCTCGCGGGCGAAACGCTCACGCTCGGAGCGAATCACGCTCAGAACGTTCTCGAGGGAACGGCGCCAAACCATCAGGCGACCTTGGACCTCGGACCACTGCTTCTCACCGAAGACACGGTAAGTGGCGCGGTGCACAAGGAACTCGGACTTCAGCTGGGACAGTCTGCCCTCGACAAGACCGGCACGAATGGTGTCGATGACCCACATCTCGACATCGGAGGCGGGGACGCGCAGAGCAGAGGCGATGGTGGCGTAGGGGAGCGAGCGCGAAGGGGTGGAGGATGCCAGCGAGGTGAGAGTGAGGAGACGCATCTTGGTCTGCAGGGCATCAGCGGACTCGGCGAGCACACCGCCAGAGATGGAAGCGAGCGGGTTGGCGGCCACGAAGGTATCGTAGGCGTCGAGGGTGTCCGAGGTGAAGATCTCGAGCAACTCGAAGAGGATGCTGTCGCTGGAGCGCAGGGCCTGCACGGCGTCTGATGCGGTCAAGGGAGCGAAGTCGAAGACGGTGGAGCGACGCAGAGCGGTAGCGAGTGCGCGCACAGCCAACTCGCGGCTGTCGGGCTTGCTGACGTCGGCAGCATCGATGGTCTCGAGGGCTTGCACGATGTGAGTCTGGGCCAAATCCTCATCACCGGCAGCGGTGGAGGCGTCGGCAATGGCGATGTGCAACTTCCGGGTGTCATCGCTGTCCAACTCCCAGGCGGCGAGCCATGTGGGGAGCTGCGAAGTGAGCTGGGGCTTGAGGGCTTCAAAGGCAATTCCAGATCCAGACTGACGGATCACGGCCACAACAGCGAGGAGAACGTGGTACCGGCTCGAGTCGTTGGAAGACAGGGTGTTGAAAATGGTGGTGAGAATAGAGATGGCGAGCGTGGGGCCGAACTGAGGCGAGGTGGTGATGGGCTTAGCGAGATAGGTGCAGATGCGAGGAAGGAACACGTCGGCGTCGGAAGACTGGTGAACGAGGTGGACCAGGAGGTTGTAGGCGGAGGTAATCTCTGCAATTTTTTTGAAGATCTATGTTAGTTTTTGTCCGTCAAAGGTCACAAAAAGTGTCGCCAGATTCCGACTATCTCCAGATCATTCTTCGACACTTTTCGGCCACTTACCCTTCTCGGGGGCACTGTTCAAAGCGGTAGCAGAGGAGACAAGCTTCTTGAGGACTTCATCGCGCTGCTTAAGGTCGGCCTCGCCTTCAGACTGTTCCTGCTGGCGGAGAGGTTCGAGGAGCGGGGCGATCTCGGACTGGAGGCTACCCTCTTTGCGGAGGGCATCGATGTACTGGGCAAACTCGTCGGCGAGCTCGGAGAAAGAACCCTCAATGAGGAGGGTATTGGTAGGGGCGGGCATGATGTTGGATGTGGGAAAAGGAGAGGAAGAGAGAACGTGAAGTTCTTGATGGTGGAGTCTATCGATAAGTTGAGAAATTTCAGTGTGTGCCAAAAATGTCTTGGCGAAAGGAACACCACAGTTGAAACATCTCGACTGATCTCCCTTTTACTGTTCTTTTGACTTGATTTCGAATCTTCTTGTTTTGAGGAAATATTTAATATTTACACTACGATCTTCACACTGATTTTTTTTTTCTGGCCAATGGGTCGGCAATAATTGGTGATATTACTTTTAATCGAATAGTTCATGCGCGAAATGGGTCACCTGCGCAGACAAATAACTCCGAGCCAAAGCAAAACAAGAAAGGACAGGCGCCACGTTCATAAACATGTGGAAAATCATAATGAGTCAAGAGTATTCAGAGGGGAATCGAATGCCTTGAAGAGCGAAAAAAAAAAAAAAAAAGCAAATGGCATCGCGATGAGTTAAGGGAATACAACAAAGAGGACGCTATGCGACCCAACCGTCAAGGGGTGAATAGCTTCCCAAAGACCGAAAATTTTCGTTCTTTTACAGGACCATGCGCGCAGCAGCGAACATAATACCAGCCATCAGACCAGTGGAGTACTGAGTCAGGTCGCTGAGAGCGACAGCGGCGTTAGTGGTAGTGCTGGCAGGCGCCACGGAGGAAGTTTCGGAGCTGGAAGAGTCGGTCGCAGTGGCCAAGGCCAGAGTGGTCGAAGATGTGTCAGAAGCGGTGGTGGTCACCGCACTTGCGTTCTTGGAGCCACAGTCGGCAGCCTTCTTGCAGGCACGCTGACCCTCAGCATCGTTGGGGTGCGAGGCGATGCACTGGACATAGGTTTCCTGGCAGACGAAGAAAGGAACGGTCTGCGAGTAGGGGGTCACGTCGGGGATGGAACCATCGCTGCACACACAACCGAACTTCAGGGTAGACTGTTTCAACCCGTTAATCTCTTGGTCATACAGACTCGCTACATATCAACATACCGGGTCACACGAGTTGAGCTTGGTGCCTTTCTTGCAAATTTCGGGACAGGTGTTGCGCTGGGCAGAGCAGTAGGAGCCTACTTGATTAGCATTCTGTTGTTTGAAGAACTGTCCAAGTACATACTCAAGTCGCCAGGCTTTACCAGACCGATGTTGAAACCAGCGGGGAAAATATAAGTGTCAGTGGCATTTCCAGCCATGACGGAAGTAGCCAGAGCCGAAAGGAAGATAATTGAGGAACGCATGATGAATAGAATTAGAGATGCTGTGTGTGTGTGTGTGTATTTTGTATTTGTATGTGTACGAGAAGAGAAGAGAAGAGAGTTGAGGGAGGAGAGAGATAAGAAGAAAGAAGAAAAACAAAGAATGGGCAGGTACTTTCTTTGTATGTGCCAGGTCCCAAGGCCGAAGGTATTTTCCAAGGTATTTTTTATTTTTTGGTTTTTGGTTTTTAGTTTTTTTGGTTTTTGAAACCAAACTGGAAAGAACCTTCCTGCAGGGTAACCACCTTCCTCCTTCTCTCCCTTTTCTAATTGGCATACCAGGGTGGAGAGAGAGATATCAACTAGCTACCTACTAGCTACTACCTACTAGCTAATAATTTATTATTTCAGTTGCACAGGCCCTATTTTAACTTGTTTTCCTTTATACGCCTGACCTAAAAGAGTTGACAAAAGTTACCCACTCATATTAGAAGGTCCTTGGCTGTGTAACTAAACCCAGTCAGGCTAAGTTGCCCCTGCCGCTACAGTCCGTACAAATCAGAAGCATCTGCACGGAGATAGTTGAATGCACTATAACTAGTGCACTATACCGAGTACGGAGTATAGGACCCTTTGATAACTTTATGGTTTCGTCTGTTTACTCTGTGGCATTCTTGCCTGAATTCCCAGATTCCCAGATTCCCAGATTCTTACGTTCCCAGCTTCCCCCATCATCTCCCTTACGGGTTAACTACCGGTTACATGCCGGGGGTGAGACAATGCATTGTCTGTGCTTGAAGACTGCATGATTGGTTCTTCAATTCAAGGCAGGGGAATATCTACTTCAAAGCTTCTGATATTCGCTCCACCGCAAATCAATTTTCCAAGGCTCGCATATCATTGGACCGTGTCAAATGGGTTGACCCCAATATATTCACGTGACTGTTCATCATGCCCTGATCCGTTATAGCCGGAGCCGAGGTTAAATGATTGACCATTGACACTGTTCCAAGGTTGGCTAATATATGTACTTAGGTACTGCTGAAACCGCTGAAACACTCCGCTCATGACAATTGACCCCAATATAACCAATACAAAACAACAGCCAAAAGAAAAAAAAGGAATGGCCGACCCAGCCACCGCCATCGCGCATCTCCGCACCAACTCATGGGCAAACAACCTGATCTCCTCAACCGACTACACACCAATTGAAACCGACTCTCGGCGCCTAAAGCCCGCAACCGGTGAAGATGGCTATTTCGCACAAACTCTCAACACACCCTCTACAATCCCTCACTGTCTGACCCTACAACGGCGTAACCTCACACCGGCACCTACTGAAGCCCCCACCTGGCTCCCCGCAACAAAACAAGACGCCGCATCCGCCGCAAAGCCCACCCCAGGCCTGAACCCTGCAGACATAATTATGATCTTCGATCTAAGCAGCCCCGGTCTGTCCGGCCACCCATCCACTGTGCACGGTGGCCTTCTCGCGACGCTAATTGACGAGGCCATGTCCCTCGCTGTCGCAGCGCATACCAATGCGCCCACTGCGCTCCGTGCGGCTGAGGATAACCCACGCGGGAAGATCTTTACCGCACAACTAGACATCAGGTATAAAAAGCGGGTTGCTGCGCCTGCTTTGCTGGTTGTCAAGGCGCGAGTTATTGGCAGGGTCGGGAGGAAATTCTGGGTGCGGGCGCAGGCGTTGCAGGAGGATGAGGAGAGTGCTGGGGGACATTTGGAGTGGGCTAAGAGGAAGATTGTCAAGGCTGATGCTATGGCATTTTGGATTGAGACATCTGACTCGAAGTTGTGAGCGTCATCCTTTTCTTCTTTTCAGGCTTAAAACTTGGAGCATAGACTTGGGGATCGACTTCCCCGATGTACATTATGGGGATTTGATCGCGTACATACAGCACCCCGATTTTACACATATAGTATTACATATAGTATTAACCAGCTAGGTCATATATAGAACAGAAACTAAGCCTGGATTGAACATAAAAAACTATTCTTTAAACGTATCTATATCTATGAGAGAACTATCTACAACTTCTCCATCTTCCTAGTCCCAACATTCCGACTAGCGTTAACAACCAACCCAACCTGCGTACTCAACGCGATAACCTCCCCATCCTCATCAAGAACCGTAACCTCCAAGTCTGTCCGTCCATCCCTAAGAGCCTTAGTCTCAACCCGACTATAAAGCCACTCCACCCCCTCAGCAGGAAGATGCTTCTTCATATCGACATTAAGCGTAACAGTGGGATACCAAAAGTTCGCCTTCTGTCCAGCAAGCGAAGTCCCACTCTCCTTTTCCACAGCAGCATTAGACACATTATCAAATCTATCCAACGCCATAGGAAACATATCAACAAGATAGGCCACCGCAGCCTCCGTCCAGCGACCATTCACATCACCCGCCGGCCGGAACCTAACCCACTGATCGACCCCCATATCCCCAGCTCGTTTCTGCTTCTGCGTGTCCCCAGCACCAGGACCAAACAACTCAATCTGCGCCGCCGCCTTACGGAACGACGCAAAAGGCGCCTCAAGCTTCCTCCAAGTCCCATCAGACCCCGTCCGGCCCAACGCCGCCAGATCAACGGACCCGTCAGCGCGCGAACCCGCCGCCGGAGCAGGGCGAGGCTTCCACCCTGTGTTCACGCTGATGCCGACCTCGGCCTCCGGCGGGCTAACGGTGACATAGCCAGCGACCATGATGTCCAGTTGGCCGGGGTTCTTTGCAGAGGGTTGCAGGAGCCTGATGTGAATTGTGCTTGTGCGGGCGCCGATCTTGACGTCTTCGACTTCGAAGATTGCGGGGCCTGAGGCTGTGCGTCGTAGGAAAGAAAGTTGGATTGAGATTGGGGATGCGGCGCTTTTGTATTGCTTTGGGTGGGCGTGCGCAAAGTGCGTTAGGGTTAGTTGGTAGATTACGGCTGTTGTGTAGCCTCCGTGGGGAACTAACGGGGTGTTTAGCTTTTGGTCAATGGGAGGTGAGGTTTACTTGGGTTCTGCTATACCGGTTCCAATGCACCATTCGGGTTGGAGGAAGGCGCTATATTTGTTGGGGCCTTGTGGGGTGACCTTGATGGCCTCCTGGAATGATGGGTTGACGGTGGACATGACTGTGATGTTTGAATTTTGTTGTGTTTAGATGTAATGATTTCAAGGTCTAAGCAAGATCATTTATAGTCATTTATAGTCATTTATATAGTTGATATAGAACCCTCCCCCCACATACCCAAGTTGTCGTATCGTACCTCGGCTTTTCCCTCAGCCGAGAAGCTGAGTAAGCTGGTTAACCTCCTCAGGACTGGCCACGGGGATTTTTTAGGTTCTGAAGACATTGAAGCGAGAATGCTGGAATGTAGCAAATGCATGTAATTCTACATCGGTGATATAAGAGGGCTGTGTTAGGAGATCCCTATCTGATTTAGTCTAAGATGACATATTGTGACAGGTCCAATCGGGAAACGATCTGAAGATATTCCGCTACACGACATTCCTTGGTGGAGCTTGGCAGCTCGCGTAAAGGAGTCTGCGCTAATCGAACTTCCATTTTGCATCCAGAATACATTAGCATGCTCGTTAATACATTAGTACTACCTACATATAAAACATCTGGCCCTGTTCTACAGCGAACCTGAGGGCAGAACATATGGAGAACCATATCAGATTCACGGGTATGGCCCTTGAACGCAGCTTGTTAGGCGATCATTTCAGATCACTAATGAAAAAAGAATAGAACGTTCGTATGGTTATGTTGATCCCAACTTTCCAAACCCCGGCAGCGCAAGGGATACGCCCGTGATCATTTACGGTTACACACCTTCCATCGCTCTAGCTGCCTTCGCAGCCGCATGGTTTTTTTCTTCACTTCGTCTACCACACAGCCCATACCATCAAAACCCGTAGCTGGTGGTGGATGACCTTTTCCGCCGGCTTGATTTTCGAGGTGATAGGGTACATTGCACGATCCCTCTCCGCCAAAAAAGGATCCGTATCACCTCATCTACTTCATCCTCAACTACTTTTTCATCGTCGTGGCGCCTGTATTGCTTGCCGCTGGTATCTACACCATTCTATCGGCATTGATCCCACGAGTAGGGACCAGGTATTCATTCCTACCCCCAAAGGTCATCCTAGCCTTCTTCATTACTTCAGATGTCATCTCAACAATCGTCCAAGTCGCCGGGGCGTGTCTCATTGGCATTACAGAGTCGCGCCGGGAAGATCCCACGACGGCGAACAATATCCTCTTGGGTGGCCTTGCGTACCAGGTCTTCGTTATGAGTATTTTCGTCATCGTGGCGGCGAGCTTCCAGTTCCGAGCTCGGCGTGCTATCAGAGCAAATGGGCTGGGGCTCTTCTGCTTGGCTTTTTCAATTTCGACCCTCATGGTTTATTTGAGAACTATCTTCCGTCTTGCGGAAACTGGTCAGGGTCTTATGGGAGAACTGCAAACCAATGAGGTCTACTTCGCTTGTCTTGAATTCGCGCCTATTGCGCTAGTGGTTCTTCTCTTTGCTGTCTGGTATCCTGGCCGCTGTGTAGGCGCAGTGGTGCGGGTTAATGATAAACCATAGAAAATATAATGTACGTTGTTATGCCTTTATGCCTTGGTCTGAATGAGTCGCGTATCCTTAGCTCGTACTTGTCGCAAACGCCAAGATAGGAAAACCCCGTATGTTGGTACCTTCCATATCAATCCAAGACAGAAGAACTTTCCACCCAAACTTCCACTTCCAACTTCATCCCTCTACTTATGTTTATATCCTCTCAATGGGTTTTCAGCTATGCGTTCTCCAAGTGAGAGCCTGCCGCACTCAGTCATCGACACATCCTAGCCACCTGGTATGCAACGCTGGTGGTGTTTGTGTTTGATCTGGAAGATCGAGATTACTGGCCAGTCGGCTGGTATTACGAAAGGATGTGTCAACGACAGTTGACTCACCACCGACGCCCACTCAGCCCACCACCGTTGGCAGCCTCTCCTTGCTTCTCCCCGAACCGAAGGATAGAGTATGCAGAGGACATGGGCGGTGGTTGTGGAAGATAACGAGGAATATTAGGTGGAAAGAGTACTTGCCAGCCGAACTCGAAACGACAAGCTTCAGTACCAAGTCAAGTGGACCGGTTACGACGACGAAGGATAGAGTATGCAGAGGATATGGATTGCAAGCCACCACCCGGCTTGCAAACGGATGGATGGGAACGACCCGGGTACGAAGGTCCTTACCCGTCAGGACCGCGATCCGCTCATTCCTCCCATCTCAACAGGTTGATTGGTGGCCCGGCGCGATTCTGCTGGGTTTGGTGGAATTCCACCAATTTCTGGGGTGCGTGAGCGAAGTTCGATGCTGGGTACCATGCCGCGTCGTCGTCGTAACCGGTCCACTTGACTCGGTACTGAAGCATATCGTTTCGAGTTGGGCTGGCAAGTACTTTTTGCACCTCATAGCCAGTTGGTAGAAGGAGGTACTTGATATTCTGGTATCTTATTGACGAAGAGGGGAGGCTAGGCCTGGTGACTAGCTAGCTATATATATATTCCTCTTCCCCGTTTGCAGACGGGAGTCTGCGCTTCAATCAAGTCTAACTAGGCAACTCCTCGATTTAGTAACTCTCAAGGATTCACCAGGAATCTTTCCTGTTGTTCTCATATTTTTTTTTCTTCTTCTTTTCTAAACTTAAACCCGAAAATTATTAGAAGATGTGTCGATGCAAATATGTCTTCCTGTAGAGCCTCCATGTATGTACCATGTCAACTTGATCAAAAATGCGCCGCAATAAATGTATGCCAGCATCCAATCATAGTTTCTAAAGAAAATGAAAACTCCGGTCCTTTTTGCTATCTTCGTGTATTCGTCTTCGCATGTTCATATCCGGGAAATCTGTGAAGTAAATCAAATTGCTCACTAGATCACTCTCGCAATGGCGATTTAGTTTGGCCCTGGTGTGCTGCCAATTGTTGCAGACAAGAAAGAACGCCTGTAGAAAAATTAGTCAAGTGAAATAGCATAGAATATCCTCCTAAACTTACCAGTAACTCCCTGTGTCAGCGTAGCCTTGGCCTCCGTGCTACGCGAGCCCAATGTGACAGTCATGGCATAGTCGACGGCCTTTGCGCTGTGCAGCTTATTAGCCCACCGGAAGACCGGTTCATCCTCACGGTTATCGCCAATAACCAGCAAGAAATCAGGTCTGATGACATCCTCGTGTTTGTCGGCATTTGCCATGAACCATTTCCAGACCAGTTCAGCCGCAGATGCCTTGTTGGTATGAGTGGTCTCCACAGTCAAAGCACCCTCAATAGGAATCGCATGCACGTCTAAGTTAGCACATGCATCGTTGATATTGCCCGCGCATTCAGCGGCAGATCGAGCTGCAGCTTGGTGGTCTTCGGTGGATCCGTGGTGGAAGACGAGCGAGCAATGCCGCTCCTCGATCCAGCTACCTTCCACTCGAGCGTGGAAGTATTCCAGGATATTAGACACAGATGCCTTCCACGCTTTGACATGCAGCTTGTCTGCAAGATGGGTCCAGGTATCGGCGTTTGGCTCGCGCACGAAACACCCGTTCTCGGCAATCAGGCCCAGATTGTTGACTTGTCGGAACAAGCGTTCCATTTCCTCTGGCATGCGTGCGCTCATCACGTAGACAATGTTGGCGGGGTCTTCGGTCAATTCGTTTAGGGTTGTGATGGCGCGCTGCGGCGTGGTCAGAATGATGCTGCGCGGTGATCCCCATGAGGCTAGCGTGTCTTCGTAATCAATGATCATGAGCCGTTGCTTGGATTGGCGATATTGCTCGGTGAGTCGGGATACGGACAGTCGGGGCACCGCCATGATTTCTCGCGAAGATTGCTCGTTCCAGACACGGCTGAGCGCCTCACTAAATGATTTCACCCAGTTGGCGGTCGAGTTCTTCAAGACTGCACGGAGGAGTTCCTCCCAAACCTGCTTCCGTTCCTTTTCGTCGCGAGTCAGTGCTGTGTGAATTGCTTCGGAACACTGGCGGTAATCCCAAGGGTTGACCAAAAGAGCATGGTTTCCAAAAACAGACGCGCTGCCAGTGAACTCGCTAAGAATTAATGACCCGTAAGCTTTGTCGCCGCATCGACCATCCTGGCAGTAGACAAACTCGTGACTAGTCAGGTTCATTCCCTCGCGTAGGCTGGTGATCATCAGGGCATCTGCCACAGTAATGAGAGCAAGATACTGCGGGAAAGCTAAATCTTGTTTGAGGAATACCAAAGGCTGGTGAGCGAGGGTTGAGTGTGTGGAGTTGATCCGCATGGCAATATCAGAGATAGTCGCCTCCAGCTCTGGTTGTTCCGTGGTGCTCGTTGCGACTTGAATCAACACAACCTTATCAGCCCATTCTGGATAGGTGTTGAGGAAAAGCTCATAGCTAAGAAGTTTTTGGCGAATACCGCGAACGGAATCGATTTTGTCGCGAGCAACGATGAGACGCTTTCCTTGATAGCGCTCCGAGATGGTACCGACCCATCGCTCCACATCCGTTGCCTGGCGGCGCTTATCCCAAGAAGTTGGGTCGATGCCGATAGGGAATGTGCCAACATTGACAAACCCGTCTTCTAACTGGATTCCTTCGGGTGTTGCTTCCACACACAAGATCCGACTGCATGTCTGAAGGAAGTGCCGGCAGTATTCATCCGTTTGGAAACCAATAAGGTTGGCACCAAGAATGCCCTGGAGAAGCTCCTTGCGTGGCGCCAAGCACTTGAAGACCTCCGAGGAAGGGAAAGCAATGTGCAGGAAAAACCCAATTTGTGCATCTGGCACCAACTTGCGAAGCATAGCTGGAACCAGTAACAGATGATAATCCTGGACCCAGATCGTATCACCCCGTTTCCAATGCTTAGCAATGCGCTCTGCAAAAGCCTGGTTCAGTTTGACATAGTAGATCCATGAGTGGTCCTCGTAGGCTTTGCTCTTCGGGTTATCTGGGATCTGATAATGAAATACGGGCCAAAGAATAGACTTGCAAAAATGCGTGTAGTGCCCGTCGAAATCATCGTCATTTACAAACACCGTCAAAGACCCATACTCATCTTCCAATTTCTCCGCGATGTCCCGCCGGGTGTGTTTTGCCAAGGCGTCAGTGGGCATACCCAGGGTGCCCACCCACATCATGTTGTCCAAGCCCCCCGCATCTGTCGCAGATCGCACTGCATTGCGCAGGCCACCATTACCCTGCTCCGCAGTCTCGATAGTCCATTCGGCTTTTGAAAATGACAGTTTTCGGCTCGCCGTGCTGGCCTTTCTTAGTCTCGCATGGGAAGCAATGATCTCGGCTGCAGGGGGCCGATGCGGGACAGCTTCCTTGGCGGGGCGAAGATCTTGGTGTTTGAGGATGGATGGAGATGGCGAGAAGCCCGTCACTGGCTTTGGCTGATTGAGCGAGGTTGTAGCGCCCCATACCGGGGAATGACCCTCACTCTCCGTGAGAAGCCGGTTATCCTGCTCGGCAGGCAAAGGGAACGGGTACCCGTTTGTCTCTTGCTGTGTCTTGGCTACTTGGGCAGCAAAGATGCGCTCGTGATCCGTTGTAGCCCCTGGTGTCAGACTCGGCGTTTTCCCTGGAGATTTCTTCTCAAACAGGCTGGCCGCAGAATTGGGGGGTGGGGGTGGGGGACCCTTCGACGATAGGATTTGCGGACGGAGGACTAAGAGGGGGAGAGAGAGGGCGCGAGTTGTTGATATGGAAATCGACAGTGTAGGGTAAGAATCTACATAAGAAAGTCATTAGTTGGTCATTGGTCAAATATAGTTGAGGGTCCAGTAATCGATAGCCACATACAAAGATGCTATGAAGACCGTCATAGTGATTGAGCCCAACCTAAGCGGATAGGCAGAAGAATATTAAAACACAATGTGAGAGAAGCTGGCGCTTTTGACGATAGTGGTAAGAAGATATATGCGACAAGCCATAAACTAGCGGTTGAAGTCCTAACAATCGGAGGCAAGCTGAATTTAAAAAAAAAAAAAAAAAAAAGGTTAGTTACACGATGTGTTTCTCATGACTACGTCATGTGAAGGTGCCAAGTAGTGGAGAGGGAAGTTTTGGCTGTGGATTTCCAGAACAAATAAGAATAGACAGGCAGATTCAAGCTGCTGCATTCAGAGGAGAGACATGGATATTTGGGATATAAAACCTGAAATGTCCTTGCAGAACAAATGATATTGCAGAACCAAGGAAACCCCAACTTCTAAGGTTATCCATTGCCTGACATATGAGCTTACTGCCTTCGTACCGCTTTTACCCCACTTGAGGGGATGTTTCCCGTACGGTATTTTGGTGTTTTATTTTACAGAACTAGTTACTTATGTCTATACATGTGTATTATAGATCGACTGTGATTGGCGGAATATTTACATGTCACCTGATACGTAATATTTCTCCCCCGAATCCGTTGCATATTGGAAATGTTCACTTATACCATGACCTTGCAATGACCTTGCGTCTCACCTCCGCTCCCGTATCAGGTATCAAAAAACGCAAAACCTCTGCTCCCAAACCCCGCCCCTCGCCTTTTGCCGGTCATGCGCGCCGCAAACCTACATCTGGTGGTCTAAAACCACCTGCAGATCTAGGTTCCGATGATCCGCTTCCAGATATAGGTGGATCTCACTTTATATCGAAGACCGCACCGGTGCAGAATGTGCTACAGGCCATTCAATATATTCGCGATGGAATGTTCGAAGAAATCCCAGCACGGGCAGGGATGAACAGCACGCGCATTGCAGAAGTCCTCAATCTACGCCGATCTTTGCCTCCGCTCGCCTCTGTGGCCCATGTCCATACCCTTTTAGAGGCACCGACACAGGTGGAAAGGGAAATCGTTGAACAGATTCAAACGGGTCGGATTAGGCGACTCATTATACCCGGTCGAGGCAATGATGCCGCAGGGCTGGGCGATTGTTTGGTGCTAGCAGAGGATTGGGACAAGTTGGTGCAGGAAAGTCCTGCATTAGAACAACCGGTTAAGGGTGAGTTTTCGAGTCAGGATACTTTAAGTATCATGAGCTAACGGTTTGGCAGAGAAATTCCTTGATATTCTAAAACGTATTGGGACCTCCTCGGCGATATCGCAGGGGGTCTTCACGACAGATGAGTACAGGGCCTTGCTCCGGGCTGGGTTTATTGTCTCCTCGTCTTCTTATACACAGGGCACATTAAGTATAGCGTCACTTCCTAATTTACCTCAAATGGCGACTTCGTCAGCAAGTCGAAGCGAGTCTATCTCACACTCCGAACGCCCCGTGCAGTCAGCTGCCCAGGCTCGTGCAGCAACTCTGTTCTTGTCTCTTCCTAACACGGGCACATATCTTCGCTTGTTAGGATCAGGTCGTGCACATCTGCTCGCTCTTCTCCGGCGGTCCGCGTCTGGCGAAGCCCCTCTGGGTCTGTTGAAAGATCGATGGGATGGAGCTGTTGAGACTGAGAAGAGTTTCCATGTAGCCAAGCGAGCCCGTGGCGAGTTTGCCGGTATCTTGCCGGGTAAAACTAGGAAATGGAAAGAGCTATATGGGATGCACTTTCGATGGGTGCTTGAAGAAGCACTAGGCGCGGGACTTGTGGAGATGTTTGAGACTGGCAGCGTTGGACCTGGGATCCGCTGTCTATAGCCTCTATATCCTTTGCTTAAATTGTTACCCGAGTGCTAAATTGATGAATAAGATTATATACATATTTGGTAGACAAATTGATCAAGTCTACGGAGTACCGAGAAGATAGTTGTGTTCATGAAAGTCGTCTAAAGAAGCAATCCTCAAATTCTCACATAATCTAGGTCTGTGCAAACAAATAAGATAGACACCAATCTCATCCTTAGGCTTTGTTTTGTTTTCAAAGTTCTGGCTTTTTCTTTTTTAAACCCACCTGTCTCCATCTACACATCTACTTTCTACACATCTACTTTCTCGTCAACTCTTCTTGCCTCCATCCATCATGCCCCTAATTCAACTAGAGCCACATCTTTTTACCAGCCTGCCCCGGCACCCAGATCTTCAGGGGAATGCCAATACTCCAGATCTGCGGGAGTTCATCCGGGCCACCCTTCTTGAGGCTCAGCCTCTTCTAAACCAGTTCCCATCAACATTGAAACCAGACTGGAAGCTGCGCTCTTCTGTGCCTTCAAAGGCAAAGGTGAAACTTTCACGGGGATGGCGAACACTCCAACCCGCCCAGGAGGGCTCAAACCCCAATAAGGAATTCTGGGTATGTCGCCAAAGCGACCACCAAGACTCCGATCGTCTGCCTGGGACAGTCTCCCTATGGGAATTCCACGAGGGACTACGATACGACCATGCCAAGCACGAAATGGAGTACACACCCAGCGTGACGAGCGTAAAGCAACTGCTGAAGTGGAACGAACCGAGACAATGGGATCTCAACCAGCCAATTACTATTGGAAACATGAACTACAAGCATTTCGAGGTCGAACGTACGTATAAAAATCCCCCGAACAAAAAAGCTCTCACAGACACAAAAGGACAGCCCACTAAAACTCAAGCCTAGTCAATCTTATTGTCCACACCTTCCATCCCCAGGCACTAATCCGGCCCCGGGCCTTCATATCCTGGACTATGTCGACGACCTTCGCGAGCTCATACCCACCAGCCCAATCCAGCCCAAGTCACGGCTTTCTCACTGTGCAGATTCCTTTCTATTTGGCTAAACCAATCAGCCCGGGATCCCCGTACGAGGGACTCTACGCACAGATCATGGATGCCGTCCCGCAGCGCGCTGTCTTCGCTTACTATGCCAGTCTCGAGCGGATTGAGCGTGTGCCGTCTCCTACCCCGCCAGCCCCGCCAGCTCCAGGACCGTCGACTGCGACAGATATGAATGCCCCTGCTACAACTCCTGAACGTTATCTTCGATGGACTATGTTGACGACTTCTGAAGCCGGTGGAAAGATTCCTAAGTGGGTTCAGCGGAGCTGGACGCTAGGTGGAGCGCCGCGGGCTGTTGTTTCTGACGTGGGATTGTTTATTCGGTGGACCCTCAAGCGGAGGGAAGAGAGGAGATTGGAGCAGGATTCTCAAATGGAGGAGGGCTAAATTGTTGTTGGTCTGTTGGGTGTCTTTACTGACCTTCACTCTACTCTGTCGTCTCTGACAATTCCTGTGCATTATCAACATACAGAAACCTTAATAATCAAAAGCAGGCAATTACAAAAACGGGATAGTTATATCTACTATTTCTTTGGAAGACACCCGAGCTCATTCGGATCACACCGTACTCGTATCCTTCAAACATATATTCTTCATGATAATCTCACAGACAAGCCTTGCCAACACCAAAAGCCTGCAACGCAGCAGATGTAGCAATGACAATGGCAGTATCATTGATACCATACTTAGCATACCAAGCAGTGCTAGTCCAGAGCAGGATATTCACGATCCCGGCCATAGCTTTATTCAGTGGTTCCTGGAGGAGACTGGGGTCTCGCGACCATTGCCAGTGAAGAAGACCTGTTGATAATTATCGTTAGAATCTGCTAGGTGAATAGGAGGAATGATATTATGAACATACCAGTCAATATAAAGAAACCACTTCCCTGTTAATACAAATCAGATACAGTCAGTATAGAGCAAAATAAGCGTGGTTGATATTGGGACAAGTCAACGCACCTGGTACCACCCTAGAGTCCCACAAGTCCATGAATTCGTCCCTGCGATAGCTTTGAATCTTGGGTCGGCTGTCCACTGTCTGCCCTTGATCTACGCAATAATCAATATAGTTCTTCAGGGGCTTCTGGGGTTGGGGTATAATACCGTGTGTCCAACGGAAAGGAACACAAAAACTGCAGCTGACGCCTGCAGGAGTGCAGATGACATTCTCGAAACTACAATGTGTGAAATGATAGAATGTTCCAGGGGGTTGTTGGTGAGATGTGTACTAGTCGCGGAGTGTATTTACTCAAGAGGAGTGCGAAGTACCTCGGCTCAATTGTTTAAGTGTGAAGATGCCCCTTATGAGGCGGTGGGGATATACCGCCGCGACTATTATATTTGATTGTACTTGATCCTACTTCACCCAAATTTACTGTCAATCAAAGATAAATACTTGATACCTAGAATATAAAGGCAGGGATAGAGAGGTAGAGGTGGGGGGCATTGACCCCTGGATTTGTCCGAAAACGTGGGAGAGCAATAAATTGGCAACATCATACCATAGCCCCTAGTTATCAAGAAGGTTATCAGCACTCAAGCAAAAGCCCTCGTGGAGCCCTGTTGCAGGGGCGTAGCTGGGGAAGCTCAATTATCAATGATCGGGGATGGGCAGATACCTACCTAGGTGGTGCTCCCCGGCTGATTCAGCCTCGCGTTTAGCATCCTGATATTCGGACACCTCAGCCGTTGACATGCGAGGTCTATCCATGTGGTGCTCTGAAAGGGACAAGCAGTGGCAACATGCAACAGAAGAATCAGCCAATCCTTTTGGTGAGGGCAGTGTGGAGGCCATTGTGTAGTAAGGAAGATCTTCGAGGAAGATCAATGGCGTAGGAGGAAGGAGTCATGGATACATCTAGAATAACTTAAGGAGAGGGAATCACTAAACTCGTCTTCTAATGGTCCTTTCAGGTGTGTTTTTCGACGTCTTCTCTGATCCCTTCTTTCATCTGCTAGGAAATTGGGCGAATATAACACACTATGGAAACCATAGAACCAGACTTTTCGGGCTCTTTTTTTTAACCTCTGGGATAGACAGTTAGAAGACGTCTCCTGTCATATTTTCTGCGTATAGGATGTGATGTTTCATATCTAAAGACTTTTTTGGTACATTTGGTATTGGGCACCTCGGCAATACGAGGGGAATATATATATCCATGCAACATCACATAGACGTACAACAAGAAAGATCAAGTGTCTTGCTGAGCCTAACTGAGATTGTGTTTGGTATCCCATGGCCCCTAGAGAGTTCTTGTGGACGTTATAGTTCATTGTCGAGTGTACTTATATAGGACGTCCAGCGGCAACACGCACTTGACCTACATAGTGACTGCCAGAAAAAAGATGCAGTACTACTTGAACAACTCCACGCCAAACAAAGAGAGGTTATGTCGACGCTTCCAATCCAAAGACCAAACAATACTTCGACTCCGAGCTTACAGACGATGAAGCTGCAAAAGCTCAACAAAATAGAAAATCGAGAATGATTACAATGCATATCGTAAGAATTGAACAGTATATTATCACTAAGTCGGGAATAGCAGATTACGAATAAAAACTCCAAGTCCAGCGTAATCCATGCACATATCCAAACACAATCACATGACTCCATCTTTCACCACAGAAATCGACAGGACACAGGGGAGGGGAGGGGGAGGGGGAGGGTCGCGGTTTGGTGAGAAGCAATGTTCTCTATTCCATCGCGATGTCAGAACAGTTTTGTTTGACACGCCAAACTCCTTCGGCTGTTCAAAAAAAAAAAAAAAAGAAGAAGAAGAGAAGAGAGGGAAAAAAAGGACACACTTTGTAGTGCACTCCAGGTATGAATAAAGTAGGCTAGAACGGAAAGGTTCCCCTGGGTGTGATATGACCCCGGGGGTATAGGGGGAAAAGAAGAAGAAAGAAAAAAGAAATGGGTAATGGGGCATAGAAAACACCGACGCCGGCGACTGTCGGTATGGTGATCATGAGGGCATCAAAGTTGACCCTCAAGGGAGGATGGGATAATCAAGACGTATGGACAAAGTGAAGAAAAATAGGAGGGCATAACAGCCAGTTTACGTGGCTGACGGTGAGCCGTATCGTACACACTAGAACCACACCTAGGAACGTATCACCGCGGTCCGGCATTATTCAAGTTTACTTCCACCGGAGCCGGGGGTAGCGAGTTGGACGACGCAACGTGCGCCCGCAAGGCGGCAACTTCAGTGCGCAAGCCTGTCAACTCGTCGTGCATTGTCCGCACGTACGCCCAAAGCTTATCGATTTGGTTGGCGTCACAGGTATTGGCATCTGGCCCATCGAAGCCCTTGAGATGAGATAAACTGTGGGTACTGGAGTGGCTGTGCGAAGGAGTGTGTTTGTTTGCAGCTTGCATGCCAAATCGAGCATCCGGGGAGGTCATACCCGGTGGTGGAGGCAGCTGGGGCGCGCCTGGCTGTGGCAAGGGCAAGCCTAGGGTAGGTGGTGCGTGGTTCGAAGATTGATTCGCTCGCCCGAAAGAGGATTGCGGGTGTGGCAAGGACTGTCCCATACCGGGGGAGTGTGCACGGTGTGGCGGTGCGCCATCATGTTGCGATGAGAGAGCGTTCGGGGACAGCGGTTTAGGACTGTCACTAATATTGTTGGAAGGGAACATAGACGAACTCGAGCTGAGTCCCGCAGGGGGAAAGTCATGTGTGCAGACTGCGAAGCCGATGTTGACACGCTTGATCCGCCATGGTTGGCCGGGGGTGGGAAAAGGTGGCTGGGACGACCGGCGGCAATTGGTGGGTAGGTGTTAGACTGGCGCGAATGAATTGAATCAGATCGAGCAACTGTATCTGCCTCGTGCTTGCGGATGCTCGGCATGGTCATTCGCCGCTCGTCTTCTTCGTCCATGCGCTCAGGCTCTGCTGTGTACATCAACCCATCCATGTCGTCGTGTCCCCCGGGCGCACCGTCGCCATACTCGTCATCTCCCGCAAAGCTGCCCATACTCGCGCGTCGGCCCGCGCAGCCTCCTTGTCCTTTATTGTGCCGAGCAAGCGCATCACCTCGGGCGAAACGACGTCCACACTTCGGACAGATGTGTGGTCGCTCGCCGGTGTGCAGCTTTGTGTGACGCTTTAGATCGTGTAGTCTTCGGAAACGTGACTGGCAGGTTTGACAAACGAAAGGCTTTTCCTGACTGTGGGTGAGCAGATGGCTCTTGAGATTATGTTGCCGCGTAAATTCTGTCGCGCAGTATGGGCAGCGGTGTTTCTTTGCCGATGGAGAACGAGGGCTGCCTCGGTTGTAGCCTGCGTTCGGTAGGCTCAGTCCGCGACGTGGGTCGTTAATATTACCTGTAGGCATCGGATATGAGAATGCTTTGCCATCGTGGTCGATCTCGGAGTCATCGCGCGACCGTCGATCTCCATCATGAGAAGTGGATTCTTCAATAGGACCAGGGCTGGCTACAGTCGAGGTATGCATTAGTGAGTTGTGGTGATGATCGTTTGATCCGTAAGGGTCCGACGGCGATTCGGTCGCGTGTGAGTCAATCTGCATATGCTCCGGGGATGCATGGACCGAGGGCTCATGAATCGGGGCACCTGGCGACTTTTCGCTTGCACCCAGAGCCTCCCGGGCCACCTGTGAACTGTTTCGTTCAGCGTCCTTCTCATGCTCCGGCCGATCCGCCGGTACTGATGTTGGACTTGTCATCGGAGGAAGTTGGTCTCTCGATCGCGAGACGTGTAAGCCGGCGCTGGCAATCGAGCTCAAGCTCTCGGGCTTGGAGGATTTAAACAAAGAGAGTGGTTCAGAGCTAGTGATAGAATTTGTGGATAGCGAGTTAGAGACGGCGATGGGCTCGTTGTTCGACATCAACGTCGCCATGGAGAAAGAAGGTTTCGCGCCAGCCTCAAAGGGTGGACGAGTAAAGGCGATAGCTACTTTAGATGTCATGTTAGGACAATGCAAGGAGGATTGGTGGGGGAAAAGGAACTTGACTAACTTTCATCCACTTGGATATATCAAAAATGTCAAGCAGATGAGGTTGGGGGGGAGGAGAAGAGAGCGAAGACCAGGGCGTGTGGGGCGTTTCTCACGAGTGTGGCGCAAGCTGACGAGTGGTTTCAGCTTCAAACTTGTCAAGGTCCACCTGAATGATCCCAGGGGCTTAGGCCTTTAAAATCGCGATCGGGGAATGAGTGGATGAGATTCAATGGCCATCTGAAGTTTGGAATGGTTGGGCGCAGGAACAAAATAAGACCAAGAGATGGAGAATCTCAGTGGTGAAAACAGGAAAGTGGATGATAATGAACTACGGAGTAGTCTCATACCATTTAACACAATTTACCGTATTAGATTCGAAGGCAAAGAAGAAAAAAAAAAAACAAAGAGAATGAACGTGTGAACAGAAATCGGGCAGGGGATGATATGTTTGGTGGGGACTGGAGAGTCGAGGCTCTGGAGAAATGAACCCTGAGGCAGAGAGGTATTGAGTACTTAATTTTATTACTGTAAATACTATGTGTTATTAAGTATACAGTACCTCATTAGGATTGAGGCTGTGTAGACCGCTAACATTTTGTGGCTGGCTCGTGGGGCACATCCTGCGGCTGACCTTTTATTCACAAGAGTACACGTCGCCTTACATTTCATGTAGGAGAAGTCTTTTCTGTATGATATACATCTTCATGAGCCCTATAAGGAGCATGAGATCATGTCTTTATAAACCGGTATTATCGCTGGTCTTGGTATGGAGTTGCATATTTGCATATATAGGCCGCAAAGGAGGTAAAGGAGGTAAAGGAGGTAAAGGAGGTAATCGGAGTGATGTCACCCCGGAGACCCGCGCATAATATATTGTATACGATACAACATACATTCTAATTTCAATGTACTGGAACGCCTGGTCTGTTGGTGATCTGTAGATCGAGTGGAGATTCTTGTATTGAGGGTTTTCTACGTGTATTCTTTGCCATTCGATGGGTAGTACATCCACGCAGATGTTATCCATGGATGTAATAAGATTCTGACTCATGTCGTATTGTCTAAGTGTACCTTGGTAATACAAAACACAATACATTTGCTGCGCCATATTTCAGGCAGTGTACTTATAAGTTATAACGTCGTACTAGTTATCGTGGACGCCTCAGGTGGCTCGGGGATCGACTTCTACACAGAGCCCCATAGAACAGTACAGCGCCGGTTCACGATAAATATATGCTAGTAGACAGTCTCGAAGATATATAGACCTATGAACATCTAGAACATGCCATTTCTTCTAGCCTGCAATGAATGGACATTACATTTAGGAACCAAGGAACCCTATGTGGAGTGTCCTGGGGGCCACCCGGGGTTGTTCAACCTTCTACGGTTGCTTACTCCACTCCCAAAAATAGCCTGTGGCTGATACTTGTCATTTCCTATATTGCCTGCATGACATGCGAACCTTCCTAACCAAGTCTCATAGAGAAGTTGGAATGTTTGTGTTACTCGACAGTATTGATATTCCACCCGCGGTGGCATCGAGACTCCCCATCAAGCAGTCGCTATGCCACAATCCCAATCAGGTATCTTCTATAACAGGTACATGGACCATCTGTTTTCGTTGTGAAAATTATCATCCTGAACGTTGTGGTCTCCTTGCCACACAGTTGCCACCACCGAAATCCCCTACTTGATTCGCTGTACATTATGATTAGCCCTATTGAACCGACCTAGTATAAACGTTATGACACTACGTCTTCTCGTGATCTGATTGGTATCTTCCACACCTGAGCATTCATTTGTGCTGACTAAAAATAAGTTGGGTGGACTTTTATTTGGCAGGTCACCAATAATTGCGCACGGCGTATTTGCACTTGATGACTGCTTTGGTCTCCAAAGCTCTGCTGAGATCTTTATAACAGTTGATGCATTCCAGACTTTCATATGACCGTAATAGTAAGTGTCATTCTTTGAGCCGATTCTACTAGAACATCCATGGATGCGTTACGAACGGGATGGGATGTAGGGCTTCTGATATTTAGCACGGAAAATACTTCAGATCATATGAAAGCTGCGCAGGCATTGGCAATCAACATGAAACGACCTATTCGTATCAGAATATTGATGACGCTCTTGTGTCAAATAACATGGCGGTATTTCCGTGCCTCGTCACGATATCAGGAGGGCCTCGTTCAATTCTATTATGAGATCTTTTCGACCATGGCGTCTCCCGGCCAACCGGTTATAATAGGCGCGATTCCCTCTTTTGGTGATAATAACGAGCAAATATTGGGGCGACGAAGGAGACAACAGCAATTGCTTGCGAGCTTGGTGCTCTTTCTCGTCGGCAGTTAAACTGCATATCGAAGATCCCATTCTATTGAGAGTAATCCGATATATTGCGGTGATATGACTGATTGATTGACTGCAAAGCGATGACCTTCACCGGACCCTTTTCTCCATAAAGCTGGCAGACTTTTGATTAACGGAGAGACACTGCAGATAATAAGAAAAGAGAAGACGAAAGGGAGTGAAGGATACTGGTACTGAGGGGTATATCTCTTGACTGAAATGGCATGCTATGCATAATTGTAGGGTAGGTGGCGTTCCTCTCTGGGCGGCTACCCATTTCGATATTCACGCATACGAAAGTTATAAAACCGATTGTACTACGGAGTAATTATATCCAACTTGACTGATTCTATATTAGAATCGAAATCTTGAACTATGAGATGAGAATATGGTATGAGAAGGTAAGTATAAAGGACAATGCACTTTGCACATGGAATACTAATTACTGAAAATAGACGGAATAGAGAGATTCCTCTACTCCGTACGGAATAGAAAGGTGACGAATATGCGTGAGCCAGGGACTATCACGGGTGTGACTTTGCTTCGCAGTAAAAAATAGTCGCACAGACCCTCAGCTGTTTTCCCCTCTCCAACTTCCCAAACCCCCCAAATATCCCAAACTTGCCAAGGGTGCTTAATCGAGTTATATGACTGGGCCTCGAATTTGAGTTGACCGGGTACTTTTATCCAGTCATTCACATCTTCCCTGTTTCTCTCGGACCGCTCATTCATCTCACACACTAAAGCGGTTCTGCATTCCGTGTGGTTGGACGATCGGCGGATTAGCGCCGGGCTGGGGGTGATGAAGGTGCATCGTGAGGAGCGAGTATGCCCGCTACTCGATCTCACTGGCCCGTTACTCCACTGTGACAAGCTTGGCTGATCACTCCCGCCGGCCAGTCACACTCCCCTCCCAACGCCTCGAGGTACAGTGCACTTGCAGCCAGAGGGCTTGACAGGCTTTGAATCTTCCAATCATGTCCCTGGCCTCTGCTGCAAATCCCTCCCTCGGCGCTTACTCTGGCCCGACTCAAGTGACGAGAATCAAAAGCCTGCATTTTGGTCCCCCGCCTCTCGGACCATGCCAGCACTCAAACATTATTGATATTCAAGGTGCCCAGGCCGGATCCTGTCACTTTCTGGTTATCTTCCATCTTTTTTTTCGTTTTTGATCGCCATCTGCTACTTAATCCACGTGTACGCAGGCTTCGCACACGGTATCGGTGATTTATTGTAAACCTGATATAGTTCAGCCCTTGTCCCACCACACTTGTGGTTTTTGGTGTACATTCGAGTCAATTCAGTCCCAGCAGCCAGACCTGTGGCCGTCAAGTCGAGAGCTGGCTCTCTTGACCTAATTGTTTGATTTCTGTGCCTGCATTGTTCATCGACTCAATGGCGGTATCAAACGATAGTCGAGACAATTCTCCTGTGACCTACGAGCCTGTTGTTCCTACGGATCTTACCCGTGCCTCTTATCACAGTGCAATGGGCCCTCCACCACAACACACCGTGCGAGAGACACGCAGCGGTTCTGATACGAGCAATGCCTCGCTCAAGAGTCCACGCACTGCTCGATTCGCCGAGGCCACATCGATTCACTCTCCCATCGACCGCACAGAAGCTGGACGATCACCTTTCGCCGATCCTCCCAAGATTCAGGCGAGGGGAGATGTTGGAGATGTGGGATTCGGTTACGTGGGAGCAAACAATGAACATGCGGATGACCAGGTGCCAATGTCACCTTTCCGACCTGATTTGAAGGTGCCCCAGACGGCCAAGTCATTGAACCCTCTCAGTCCAACTTTCCGCGAGGAGTACTTGCTTGAGAAGCAAGAGAAGAAGGCCGAAGTGGAGAATGCCCGAGACTTGGTAAGAAAGCCGCCGAATTATGCCAATCAATGCAAGTTACTAATTGTCACCAGAGAATCAAACTCCGCGTCCGGATCGTCAAGGTCTTCCTGCGTTTCATTAACTTCGGCTGCAGTCTGATTGTGTTGTCTCTTCTCGCCGTGACATTGACTGTCTTCAACGCAACCAAGCACCTGCCCACTCGTAACAACCTTCCTGCCTGGGCAGAGGGCACCAACCCATGGGCCCAGTACCTCCTTCTAAGCATGGCTTGCGTTTCCTTATTCGCCTGTCTAATCGTGTTCTGGGCCTACCGAAAGGGCGGCCACGGACGCGCCGAAAAAGCCGCGGTCTACTACACCGGGTTCTCGATCGCCTTCTTCGCCGTGAATCTCATTATGTGGATCGTAGGCGCGGCAGTGTACCAGCACTCTAAAACCTCAGGAGACAATAAGGATATGTGGGGATGGTCCTGCGCGCGGAACACCCGCGAACAACTCTACCACAACAGCGTTGACTATGCTCTCCTTTGTCGTCTACAGGACTGGGGCCTTGTTTGCGCCATCATCGAAGTCGTCATCGAAGTCCTGGTGATCTCGATCTACGTGGTAGTCTTCTACCGCGTCTGGAGCAAGCGCAAGCTGATGAAGTCCATGGACACCCGCGACAACGCCCGTTCAGATCTATATCTCGCCCAGCTGCGCCTACAATCCGCCCCAAATACCCCCCGGCTTCGCAGGCTTCGCTTCCAACCCTCCAAAGTCCCC